GTGTGTGTGTGTATGTGTGTGTGTGTATGTGTATGTGTTCATTTGAGTAGTTTTTAAATGCGGAGATTATATTGCATCAGGAATTACTTCCACTTATCTCCTTAAATTCATTTTGGTCGCTTACGCTAATGCTTCAATTTGAAACACTTTCATTGTTTCTAAATAGTATGAAACACGGTTGCTAACATTGTCAGTTGTGAAGCAAATTGGTGTTGGATAAATTGGAAATTGTGGAATTGTGTATTTGGTCTTTTGTTTACCTTCAGTGAAGGTTATTCTCCCTACAAGAATGTTTTCAAGATGTCCAGAAAGACGTATGACGATTCTTTTTGAGTTCGATTTGCAAATCAGGTGGATTGCTCAGCATTGTTCGTAAAGACATCCGAAAAATGGTTGTAACCAAATTGATTTGAAGAGTAGAATTGGTTACAGATGCTTATAGCAGTTATTTTTCATCACGAATAGGAATTAGTGTGATAACTTGGGTTGGAACGTCTTGAAGGCATTAAAACTCAATTTAGTGTTTTGAAGAAGTCCTTGCAGTCTAACATTTTCTCAGTCGGAGTATCTTTCCAGTGTCGGGTTTTAAATCCCAGTCTGAAATCTTTCATTTTCTATTGTGACGAACTACACATATTAGTGTTGATAGGAAGTTATACCTGCTGCGGAAAGGTTTTGAAAAATTTCATTGAAGTGCATTGAAGATTTACCGAGCACCAATTAGGTTGTAGTTGGGATAATATTCCTAGCTCCTTTGTGTTGTGTCATTTCTCACTTCATTTGGTTTTACTTATTCGGTCAGATTTTAGCATGACACAAACTTTGGAATCGTTTATCAACAAAGTAATTTCGGTGATTACTGGTGATGGACGAAATATAGTCGGCTTAATGAAAGGTTTCGATCAAACCATCAATCTGGTACTAGAAGATTCCCATGAACGTGTTTTTAGTGAAGATGCGGGTGTTGAGCAAATTCCACTTGGTTTATATATTGTCAGGGGCGATAATGTGTTAGTCTTAACTGCTATTTGTGAAAAAAATTGTGTAGGTGTTCATACTTTCATATTATCTCAACAATAATAAAGATTATGTAGGATGAGGGGGCGCATGTTTCGACTTCCAAAAAAGGTTCGTTTGAAATCCTACCGCGATGATATGAAAATATGAACCCCACTATTTACACATATCTGGTATTCATCGACGGCATTACGATTAGAACAATAGCATTTGAATAGAAAATGGAAAAGCGATGTTAACTGGTGTATGTAGTTATTCCGAAAATAAGAATGGTGAGAACTGGGTCGGTGTTCTTGAAATTTCCTAGTGTGAAGGGCATTAAATTCTAAGGCTGGATTTGCGTTAACATAATTCTCATTTGTTATTTGCCATTTTTTTCAGAGCAGTTATTGGTGAATTGGATGAAGATCTCGATAAACGTTTAGATTTCAGCAAAATGAAAGCACCACCACTGGGTCCAGTATGGGTGCATATGTAGGAGAAGCTGAACATGATCTCAATAGGTTATTTATTGGATAATCCTTCTCACTGTTTTTAAATATGCAGAACAAAAGAACATTGAAATTTTGACTGAAGTTTTCAAATGATTCACTGGTCTTGTGTAATCACACTTATTATATTTATGTAACTACGACCCGCTGTATTAGCTCTTTGCAAACTGACAGTTCGTTTATTGGTAACATTTTCTGTTGTTTGTTGCTCATCTAAATCTGTTAGTAGTTATTGATTTTTGTTTTAATCATGATGGAATGTTGCAGCTTTTTTTGAGAACGATTCATTAAAAAGTGTTATTCAAAGTTTTTTTAGAGCCTATTATTTTTATTGGCATTGTGCTTTTATTTATAAATAATTGTGTTGAGTATA